ATGTAGCAGTTTGTTTTAAAATGAAACATGCATTTACCATTCAACTCAGCAATTACATTCCTAGATGTTTATCTCAAGAGATAAAAAATATTTATGTTTGCACCAAACCTTGCACATGATTGTTCACAGCAGGTATTTGTAATAGCCAAGATCTGGAAACCAGCAAAATGCCCTATAGGGCATGTGTATCTATCGTAATAAAAAGGAACTCATGCCATATACAACTTCAATGACCTCAAAAGTCGAATATACTGAGTGAGAAAAGGTGAAAAAGAACTAGCTGAAGAACTTATGTATATCAGGATATCTGTAGCCATTATTGAAAAGTACAAAGTTACAGAGATGCAGGAAGAGATTAGTGCTTGCCAAGAGTTAAACATAGTGGCAGTAAGGAGAGAGCTGGGACTCTAAAAGGGTAGCTAGCAGGACTGAGGAAATAAACAGTTCTTTTCACTGCAGTCAATGTTACACAATCATACACACATGGTAAAAGGATACAAAGCTATGTATACATGCTAGATTAATTTCCAGCCTTCTATATTATAGTTATGCAGCAAGCTTGGAAGCAGGAGTGGCATCCACTTCTGTAACAAAAGTTTGCCTCTGGAAATGCTATGAACCTGGCCAAAGGATGAAAGTTATACACGTGTCCAGGACTTTCGTTCATGGGGTCGCTATGAGTCACCTACAACTCGATGGTACTTAACAACAAGAAGCATGGAACAAACTGGGGAAACTCAGTTAAGGTACGCAGGGACCTCTCAATAATTTTCTGGGAATCTATTATTATTTTAAAATAATTTTAAATAATTCATTGCTGAAATATAAAACCCTTGGGAAACATGGAAGAAATTCAGAAATCTGTTGGAAAAGGTAACACTGGAATGCTAAGTACAGAGCAGACAGGTGGTCAATGTACTGTAAGAAGATCTAACTTTTCAGAAGAGACACTTCAAAATGGATTGTTAACCTTGCGCAAAACATAGTGTTTAGTACAAGAAGGAATGCAATGAAAACATAACAAAAAACTAAGAGGTCACCTGTTGCTGTGTACCATCAAGTTGGAACTGACCCATAACTGACAATCTGGAGGGTTTTCAAAGGCAGTAAACTGCATGGGAGGAGAGTGCCCATGCTTCTCCCTCGGAGCAACTGGTGGATTTGAACCATGTGCTTTCTGGTTCACAGTAAAGCTCCTTCCCAATAGGCCACCAGAGCTCTCACCAAAGAGATCGCTTACAAAACAAACAAACAAACAAAACAAAACAAAAAAAACCAAAACAAAACAAAGAGATCGCTTACATTGAATTAATGTATTTTGAGAGCACTGGCCAATGAGATTCCCATTCCTGGCAACCCCCAGGGTGTCATAAATAGAGTGTGTGCACAAGTAAGATCTTCAATGGCTAGTTTTGGGGAGTAGGTCTCCAGGCTTTTCTTCTAAGGGGCCTCAGGGGGTATTCTATTCTCCAACCTTTCAGGCAGCAGCTGAGTGCACTGCTGCTGCTGGTGGGTGTTGTCAAGTTGCTGAGGCTCTGGGAGGTGACTGCTGATGAGTGCACTGTTGTTGTTTGTTGTTAAGTGCCTTCGAGTCACCTGCGACTTATAGCTATCTTATGTACAACAGCTCTGAACCCTGTCCTGTACTGAACCAATCTCATCTCTTCAGTCACTGAGTCAATCTATTTTATTATCCAGGGTCTTTCTGTCCTGCGCTGCCCCTCCACCCCTGCAAGCAATGATGCTCTTCTCCAAAGCCACATCCCTCCTCACATACCCAATGGATGTGCGACAGAGCTTCTAAATCCTTGTCTTCAGGGGTTTCACTCTCTCTAGGCCTGACCTGTTTTACTCCTGGCAATCCATGGTATGGATAGTCAATACTCTTCTCCAGCACCACAACTCAAAGGCATCGATTCTTCCGCTATCATCCTTAGTCACAGTCCAGCTCTCCAAGGCACAGCAAGCAATTGTAAAGACCATGGCCTTGGTCTCCGGACTGGCATCCTAGGTCCCTGACAGCAGACTTTCCCAATGCAATTCGTCTTTTTTTTGACTGCTGGTGCCAAGAGTGTTGATTATGAACTAAGCAAGCTGAAGCTGTTAACAATCTCAATCTCTTCATCTATCATGAAGCTGCCAATTGGCCCAGTGGTGGAATAAACACATTATGGAGGTGCAAACAGTTCATGCACTTGGTTTGCGTTCACTCAGGGGGTCCTCTTAAGAAAGGCCTGGCAATCTACTTCCCAAAAAATTTGCCCCTGAAAACCCTACAGAGAGAAACAGTTTTGGTCTGACCCACATGAGGTCTCCTTAAGTCTGAACCAATTTAAAGGCAGTCAATTTCTAACTAAGAAGATACAATACGTATTAAAGTCCTCGGAGCCCTGCACACATGGTTCCCTTTGCCTGGAATGCCCTTTGCCAGTCACTTTCAGTTAAGTCTTTACACTTATCCTTCAAATCTCAGCTACTGCTTCAGGGAAACCAGCTCTAGAACTCTCCACAGTCTCTCAAATAGTAAGATCAACCTCCCTTACTATTTGCACTCACAGCACCCTCAATTTTTCATTTATAGCTTCATCAGCACTCCTAATTAACTGTGTGATTATTCAATATGTACTTCCCCAGGCTACAACCGCCAAAAGAGCAAAGACATGTCTGTGTAGTTCACCACTGCATTCTCCAAACCCAGCGAGCAACACACCTGGCAAGTGACAGAAGTTCAAAATACATGCCATGATTAGGCCCATACAAAGTCCAAATGAAGGGGTCCACAGTAGAGTAACTGGAGTTTGGAAGCACCCAAGATCACTTCAATCTGCGAAAGCCAGTTCATATAAGATTAGAGAGTCATGCAAAGGATTAAAGAATCTTAAATTCCAAGCTGAATATTATTAACTTCAGCTTCTTAGCAATGAGAACCCATTAGGAAGTTCAAAACTGGGAAGTGACCATGCTCCCAGTGTCCTGCAGAGAAATTAACATGCAGATGGACCTCAACTGAGAAGGTACAACATTAAAGAGACAGTAAAAATAATTGTGGGGATATCACAGGACTGCAGGCACAAAATTATAAGGCTCTAACTAGGAAGGTGGCCACGAGAACAGAAAGCTGTGAGAAATACTAGCAAAGAAGAAACAGCAGGACAGATACACAGGGTTATTAGGGAAACAGACCAAGAGAACTTTTTAACAGTGATGAGTGGAAAATGGACCATTAACAAAACCAGTTATGTTAAATCCTGTTCTTAGGAGAAGGAGCGTACTTTGTAGGAAATTATGGGTGACCTCCACATAATGGAAGATGAGAAACTAGATGTCGAAGGGGGTAAAAATAATAAGGTTGTAAGTGCCTATGTGTGAAATGATCACAACCAAGCCCAGGAGAGAGTGAGGTGTCAGGGAGTGAGTCTAAAAGGCCTAAGAAATTCTTCCAAAACCACATCACTCTCCCCTTGTTAGGAGCCCTGGTGAAAATAATTACACTGCTTCAACCATATGCACTATACAAGTGGATAGTGTAAAAAAAAAGGTAAAGCTGATGAGGTGAATTGAAAGAACTAACACCTGAACGAGATAATTAAATAAAAATTATGACACATACTCTCTTGTAGAAGAACATATGGAAAGAAAAGGCATTGGTCTCTCCCACAAAGCACTGCTGTCAGAGAGGCAATAAGAGGTTAATCTGATCCAATGTTTCAATGAACAGGATTTTCTCAGTGCCGGTGTTTTGTGTTGTGGGTTTTTTTATTTTTTATTTAAGTATTGTTCAATGGATTGAGGACAAAGTTGTTGACAGCTTCCTCCCTCCTAGCCCTAAACAAAATTATTACTGTACTGTACACTTGGGCCTTTTTTGAGGTTTCACTATGCCACCTTGTTCTAACCCTGAATAAGGCACTATGTCCTAAAAGCTTCAGGCCCTAGGTGTCTGCTATTGGTGAGCCAGAGGAAGGAAAGAAAAGAAAAATAAATAAAAAACCAACACAAAACAGGTCAGAGTCACTGCCTTTAGGAACCCAATACACTTTGTATAATCCTTTCAGTGTCTCAGGCTGGCTTGCAGAGTTAAGAATAAAAGATGGTCAAGCAGTCTTCGTCTCGTTTAAAAGAACAGCTAAGTGCGCCGTGGTTAGACTTGACCATTCTCAGAGTTGGACAGCGCGAATGGGTTGCAACATCTAAGCGCTCTCCAGGTTATTTTCAGCCTTGATTCAGGCTCTCTTTAAAATAAAAAAGAAAGAAAGAAATCCACAGTGAAAGACTTTTTTTGGAAACGGGGGGACGGGGGGAGGAAAAAAAGAGAGAAGGGAGAAACACAACAACCAGCCAGGTACTACTTCTGAGCATGGGAAAGCCTGATCTCTCTTTTACTGCAATGTTTGACTCTCCTTAAAAGCAACAAGAAATGTCAGGCCCAAGAAGGCTAAGCTGCTTTTCAACTCCGAACGGCGACTTCCTGAGCAGAAATGGAGCTTCAAGAAACCACAATCCCTAGGCAATGTTGCAAGCCGTAGGAAAGAAATGTTGCACCTTGATGTGAAATTGCGTGGCCGCGGAAGAGAAAGCAGCTCCCGCGGGTGCAGGCAGCCGGGGCGCGGTGGAGGCTGCAGCGACCCGGGCTGGCGGGGCAGCTCCGGGAAAAGGGCAGGCGGTGCGGGGACCAGGATGCGTGCGAGCCCGATCCGAGGCTCCGCAGCTCGGCAGCGGCCCGAACACGCAGCCGAGCGGAAAGCGAGCTTTCCAGGGGGCGCTCGCTCGGCTGCCCGCGCCGGGACGCCGTCCTGGGCTCGGGCTCCGGCTCCGGCGCAGCCTCCTGAGCCGGCCAGGTCTCACCTCTCCCGCCCGCCCGCTCACACTTCGCCCCTGCCTCCTCGAACCGAGGTCACCACCCCGCGGGGTGCTGCCCGGCAGGTAGGCCGCGCTCGGGGGGCCGCTGCCCGGCGGCCCCGGGCTGCCGGACGCGCGGGAGGCCACGGCGGCTCACTCACCGAGAGGACGCTCATGCGGATTGGGGTCTCCAATAGGCACGCCATCTTGAGCCTTCCCACCCCGCCGCTGCCGACGCCGGCGCGGGGGCCGGCACTTTCGACAGTCAACTGTTGGGCCGGAGATAATCGGCCACCGAGTCAGGCGGGGAGCAGACACCAAATTCCGCTTCGAATGCGGTGGAGGCACCAAAAAGGCCCCGGAGGGCAAGGCAAAGGGAAACCGCGCAGGTGGCACTCTTACGAATCGTCGGCTGGGAAACAGCAGCTACTTTCAGCCTGGGGTGGAGGTGGGAAACGAACGGGCAGCGGTTTCCGCATGCGCAGAACTGATCTGCCGGCCCCACCTGTCTTGCGGTGGGCAGAGCCTCAGGGGCGGGGTCTCGCCTTGGAGTTGCAAGATACAGGAGTTGATAGATTGCAATTCTATCTCTAAGGATTGGTAACTATACCCAAAGTGAGTGTGACCAACTTTCACTATCCTTGTCTCTAAGGAGCACTGTGGTTGTACTTCCTTCAACAGAGACTTGTTTGTTCTTTTAACAGTCCATGGGCTATTTAGTACCATTCAAGCTACCATTCAAATGCATCAATTCTTCAATCTTCTTTATTCACTCTCCAAAACTTTCAGTTGCACAGGAAGCGATTGAAAATATAAGGCTTGGATCAAGCTCACCTTACTCTTTAAACTGGCATCATTGCTCCTCAGCACCTTGGAGAGATCCTTGACAGCCGATTTCCCTGGTGCAACAAGGCTTTTCATTTGTTGAATACTGCGGTCATGGGTGTTGCTTGTGGATCCAAGTAAAATGAAATCCTTGATAACTTCAATCTTTTCTTCATCTATCATGAGGCTCCCTATTGGCACAGTGGTGACCAGAGAGTTTTTGTTTTCTTGATGTTGAAAAGAAAAGGTACCGAAGGCAGAAGTCTTTGATCTGTTCTAGTAAATGCAGCACCTAACAACAACAACAATGTTGTGATTTATAGGTTATGTATTCACGTTCCAAAGAAACAATTTAGTTTGAAGTAAATGTTTACCCTAATTATTTTCTCTCTCTCTCTCTCTCTCTCTCTCGCTCCAAACCCCTGACGTCATTTTATCTGCATTCACAGGTGGAGAAACTGTAGCTCAGAAAAGAAAAAACCTGTCTAAGCAAGTACTTTACAGTTTGTGGTTGTCTAGCAAAGTCTGACCTCAGAACTTAACTGTTTGCCACGAATAAGAGTGAATGGTTCACGTCAAGTCTCTGCTTTAGTTTTGTCTGTTCAAACCATTCATCCGGTGCAAAGAATAGGTACTCCAGAAGCTGAAAGTCAGCTTCTTTATCCTCGATACATCATTTATCAGTTGTTTAACCTCTTGATCAGTTACCTTATCATTTTGTGCTTCCATTTTCTCATCTGTCAGATAAAGGTTCTGCAGATAGTTGTTTACAGTGGAGTCAGAACCACCAACTCACAGCTGATCCTCCAGCAGGTTTTCAGTGGCAGTAATTTGCAGGAGAGAGGAGTGCCTGCCTATCTTTCTCCTGAGGAGCATCTGCTGGATTCCAACCCCATGCCTTTAAGGTGGTAGCATATCTCCTTGCCACTAGGCCATTAGAGCTCCCTTATGGGCAGTGTAGTTGTTGGTGGTGTGTGTTCTGCAGTCAGAACAAACTTGTGCTGACCCTTCAGGGGATTTTTTTAAAAAATTATTTTATGAAAGTTTACAGAGACTTAGGGTTTCCATTCATTCATTGTTGCCCTTTTGTCCCCGCCCACCCCCTCCTCCCCAATTCACTCTTCTCTTTGAAAAGCAAAAGAAACATTCTTTCATTGTTATGAAATCCC